GGACTGTCAATTTTCAAGATTTTCAAGTTTTCATAGATCTGCTTGATCAACACTATTTTTTAAGCTTTAAATTTTATAATTAAAGATGGAACTATAACTATCGCAAAGATTTTCAGTATTGAAACCACATTTCTCAACACTATTTGAAGGTGCGTTTACTTTGATTGTTTAGAGCCTCGGCTCTACATAGACTTTTTCCTTAATTATATGTGATAATTATATATAATAGTTGTTAGGTGGTTTGAGTTAATTCAAGTGGAAGGCTAAGACAAGGTAGCCTAAAAGGCATTGGTTGGAAGTAGTGCGAAAAGATATAGGGACTTATGGTCTCATTGAGGGTATAGGCATCAATAGAGCATAATGATGGACTAGAATTCGTGTAGCTGATTCTAAATAGTTTAAGAAAAAGCTATGATAATAATGATAAATAATTATATATAATAATGATAAATAATTATATATAATTTAAGTCAGGGAACTGCTAGTGTAGGCTAGTGGGTCTACAACTATATATGAGCCCAACAGCCCAGATTGAATATCCAATGATCACGATTGTATTTCGTATTTTAATTTTAATTTTTTTTTCTATAAATCCAACTCATTTTAGATTTTGGGCATGTGTTATTTAAAAATAGGAGAATCCAATAAAATATATATAAAAAAAAAAATTGTGAGAATTAAATTAACCAAAATGACCTCAAAACTTTTCAGGAGTATTTTGATCATTTTATATCTTACAAATTATTTTTTTAAATATTTTTATTAGATACACATTGATGAGAAGAATAGACACCTAAAATTTCACATGATTTGAATTTGTAGAAAAAAACTAAAATTCAAATACGAAATGAAATCGTATTTATCAGATCGACCTAGATTCAATCTTTACCATTGAACTCATATATAGTTGGAGGTCCACTAGCCTACACTAGCATTTCTCTTTAAATAATTATTAATATACCTACGAAACACGCCATCCTCACAATCCAAACAACATACATGCATCTTTTACGTCTCTTACCATGTTATCCAATCGGCAAACACCCATCTTCCCAAGATACCTCTTTCCAGATAACTAAACGTCGTCTAAAGTGATGAAAATTCTCTTCATAGATTTTCATTTCTTTTTGCAATCACTTTTTTTTTAAAAAATATTACATTCCTTAACTTGCATATGAAATTGACTCTTTTACAATCTTACACATGAAATTGAATTATTTCTTGGTGCTAGCCAGTGTTTCAAAACTTGGATAGATGGAATGGAGTGTTCATCCCAAAAATCCATGTTGCATCGGTGTTATCGATGATTTGGATTGGTCCGGATCAGTTTAAATCGGTGGTGGTGGGGGTATGGGGGGAACTAGTCGGGACCCATAACATCCTAAAATTGGCTGAGTCTCAATCGATTCCCATCCAAATTAGTTATCTGGTTTGGGAATCATGGCTTGCTCAAACATTTACTATTAGCTGTATCAATGGAACTACCAGTTATTTTTCTAATTCAATTATCTCCAAAACTTTGGACATGGGTTGATTGATATTGGAAAACTCTTTTGCCATTGAGAAATATGGGATGGATGCTTTTCGCTATGACGATGACTTTTCGGATGTTATATATGGGGGATGAATATGTATACGACGTTGATGTATAAAACAAATAAAATTGTTTTTGCAAATTAATTTAAAAATAAATATTTTATTAGTATTAAATCTGCTTCTCTAAAGTTTTGGAATGGTGTTCGTGCGTAAGGTTTAGCCTCAAATTACTCCAACACTAAAACAAATATTAATTCGATAAATATCATATTGAAAACTAACTTTGTCAAAACTAGGCCTAATGCAATCGCTCACGCTCCTAATCCAAACTTCTGGTACTTTCGAGTTTCACATCATTAAAACCAATGGTTTAAAAAACGGATCGGTGACCCGGATCGAGCTTCTAAAAAACCGATCTGGATCGACGAATCGGCCA